TGAACGAGGTGAGTCAGAGTTACTTAGCCAGCGAACGTCGTTATAATTACACCACCCCGAAGTCCTTCCTGGAGCAGATTAAGCTGTATGAGAGTATGCTGCGCAAACAGCATGGCAGCCTGGAGGGCAAAATGCAGCGTCTGGAGAACGGTCTAGAGAAGCTGGAAAGCACCTCCCAGCAGGTGGACGACTTGAAGGCCAAGTTAGCCGCTCAGGAGGTGGATCTGGCGGAAAAGAATGAGGAGGCAAACAAGCTGCTGGCCATTGTGGGTGCTGAAACGGAAAAAGTGAGTGGGGAGAAGGCCAACGCGAATGCTGAGGAAGAAAAAGTGGCAAAAATAAAGATTGAGGTGTCGCGAAAACAACGCGACTGCGAACAAGACCTGGCAAAGGCTGAGCCCGCCCTGTTAGCCGCCCAAGAGGCTCTCAACACCCTGAACAAGGGCAATCTGACGGAAATGAAGTCGTTTGGTTCGCCCCCGCCAGCTGTGGTCCGCGTAGTCGCCGCTGTCATCTGCCTCCTTGCACCCGGCGGGAAGGTGCCCAAAGATCGCAGTTGGAAGGCAGCAAAAGCCGGCGTAATGAGTAAGATTGACCAATTTCTGGATAACCTCATTAATTACGATAAGGAGAATATTCACGAAAACTGTCTCAAGGCGGTCTCTGAGTACCTCAAAGATCCGGAATTCGACCCTGACCTTATCCGCACAAAGTCCCTCGCAGCTGCAGGTTTGTGTTCCTGGACTATTAACATTGTCCGTTTCTACGAGGTCTACCTGGTGGTCAAGCCTAAACGTGATGCTCTGGCTGAAGCGAATGAGGAGCTGCGTCTGGCTACGGAGAAGTTGGATGCTGTTCGGACGAAGATTGCCGATCTGGAGGCAAAGTTGCAGAAACTAACTGATGAATTTCAGGCAGCCGCGGAGAAGAAGAGAAAGTGTCAGGAAGAGGCGGACACGACCTTCAAGACGATAGAACTAGCCAATCGGCTGGTGGGGGGTCTCGTCTCCGAGAATGTTCGCTGGTCTGCACAGGTTGAGCAGTTTAAAAGCCAGGCGAAAGATCTGCCCGGAAATGTGCTAGTCACCGTGGCCTTCCTGTCCTACCTGGGTTACTTTACGAAGAAGTACCGAAATGATCTCATGTACACCCATTGGATGCCCTATCTGACCTCGCTGGAGCCACCAATACCAATTAGCTCAGATATTGATCCCTTGAGCCTGTTAGTTGATGATGCTGTGGTGGCGTCGTGGAATAATGAAGGCCTCCCGAACGACCGAATGTCGATTGAGAATGCTGCCATCCTGACTTCTGCTGAACGCTGGCCTTTGATCGTTGATCCTCAGCTGCAAAGTCTCAAATGGATCAAGACAAGGTATGGTGACGACCTCAAAACAGTGAATTTGGGTCAGAAAGGCTACCTGGACGTTATCGAGCGAACAATCACCCTAGGTGGCATGTTGCTTATTGAAAATATCGGTGAATTCATTGATCCCGTCCTTGATCCTCTTCTAGGTAGAAATACCATCAGAAAGGGTAAAGCCATCCGACTGGGTGACAAAGAGGTCGACTACGATCCCAACTTTAAACTCATTTTGCACACTAAACTGGCTAACCCTCACTATAAACCGGAGATGCAAGCTCAGACAACCCTCATAAATTTCACAGTCACCATCGATGGTTTAGAAGACCAACTTCTGGCCAATGTCGTCAGTAAAGAGCGGCCTGATCTGGAAAAACTGAAAGCTGATCTCACGCGCCAACAGAACGAATTCAAGATTACTCTGAAGACTCTGGAGGACTCGCTGTTGGCCAGACTCTCGGCGGCAGAGGGCAATTTCCTCGGTGACTATGCTCTGGTCGAAAATCTTGAATCCAACAAGCGCACTGCCATTGAAATTGAGGAGAGGGTCGGCAAGGCGAAGACGACAGAGAGTGAAATAAACGAGGCTCGTGAACTTTACCGCCCGGCGTCAGAACGTGCTGCTTTGCTCTACTTTATCTTGAACGATCTGAACAAAATCAATCCAATCTACCAGTTCTCTCTGAAGGCCTTCAGCAGTGTCTTTGACGTCGCAATGGACCGAGCTACCCCTGCCGAGGATGTAAAAGAGCGCGTAGTCCATATAATTAACTCCATCACTTACTCCGTCTACGTCTATGTGTCGAGAGGACTCTTCGAAAAGGACAAACTGCTCTTCACTTCCCAGATGGCCTTCCAGATACTCCAAGCAAAGAAGGCCGTTCAGCCCAGTGAGCTGAATTTCCTGCTTCACTTCCCAGTGATTCCAGATGTCACCAGTCCTGTGGACTTCATCACC